TTTAATTTACGTCTTTTGTTTTTCAGCTCTAGACTTTTTCCTGTATCGTGTAGAGACATTTACATACACGTGTACACATATATGTACATAAGAAAATCACCTGTAGATCATACAAACAATTCATCAACAGCCTATAAATGCCCACTGTTGAGCAAAGCCTCTTCTCACACAGAGAAGGTTTAAGCATTGATCACCACGCTTGCTCAATGCGGGTTGGCGATTACAAATTTATAATTAGAAATTATAAGCCCAGGTTTCCTCACGATGTTTTCCTTCGCCGTTTGTCAGTGGTGTCTAGATAATCTTAGAAAGTACATATAACTCGGAAAAAGTCACATTGGTACTTGCCGTTGGTAGGTTTCGGACTCGCACCCACATGCATGAGAAGTGGGCGTCTTAAACCTCCGAGACACCACGACATTTACACATACAAATAATTAACGTGTAGCAATGAAAGGTGATTTTGCGCTCACGAGAGGACGCCAGTGATACGTATTAGTCAGATTAGTCCAATCAGTTATCGGTTTAACTGTCACAAATTGTTTGACTAATGCTCTAATGTTAACTTATACCAACATCTGAAGCGGTGCAAAAAACAACATTTCACCAATTTCGTATAATTCAGTACCACATCCAGCTATTAATCAACTCAAATCTTATATAACACATACTACATTATTGGCTTTGTTTTAGTTTTAGTTTTATAATTTACCTGTTATCTTTTAATTTTTCTGTTTTTATACTTTTTTATATTTATATGTCTTTTCTGGTGTGCATGTCTTATGCCGAATAAACGTATTTCATTTCATTTCATTCATTCATTTCATTTCATTTCATTTGCATACATAATACCACAAATTATTTTGTTTTCTGTGATTAACGTTATTGGAAGAGCTCAACTAGTTTCAAGCGATTTTAGAATCTCTTATTCATGAGCTGCATTCCGCTATATAAGATGCAGTGACTGTCGCTCTGCACATGACCTTTAACACTTACGTTATACACATTGACTTACCCGTATTTATGTCTTGTTTCAGAATAATCATCGGCAGACACATGTTTTCACCGTCATCCACGAAAGCGGCCTGGTGGCTGGCCACGTTTTTTAGTGTATTTGTAACAGGTATATATGATTTTTTTTTTATAGCATAAGCCGGTAAACGAGCTGTCGGATCACCTGATGGTAAGCAATCGGCGCCGCCCATGGACACTCGAAACACCAAGGCGTTACAAGTGCGTTACCGGCCTTTTGGGAATTGGGAATTTGAGGATTGTGGAGGATTCGGGGATTCGAGAGACACAACGCAAGCGTTGTTTCACGTCGGTTTTCTGTAAGGCTGTGGAATCACTCCGGTCGAGCCAGCCCATTCGTGCCGAAGCATGGCTCTCCCACACATTTCACTTTCTTTGCGAAGAAAACGAAAATTTTACGACTGACTGTTTCTGTCCCATATTTCATGATGATAAAATAGCCATTTATTTCGAATCCAAGACCTAACCTGTACTCGATAGATAAAAAATAATACTGGTAATTTCACGAAACAAAAAGGACTGGTAGTGTATAGAAATATTGTGTGTAATTGAGGGATAAGTTTATCAAGCACCTCCAAAAGAAAGAGAAACAAAAGCCTTATGTTTCAATCACTTCTAAATAGGACTAGACAAAGATAACAATATCGTCGTGGTGGCCCGAAGGTTAAGACACCCACTTCTCATGCATAAGGGTGCGGGTTCGAAACCTACCAACGGCAAGTACCAAGGTGACTTTTTCCGAGTTATATGTACTTTCTAAGATTATCTAGACACCACTGACAAACGGCGAAGGAAAACATCGTGAGGAAACCTGGGCTTATAATTTCTAATTATAAGTCTGAGCAAGCGTGGTGATCAATGCTCAACCCTTCTCAGTGTGAGAAGAGGCTTTGCTCGACAGTGGGCATTTATAGACTGTTGATGAAAGATAACAAAGACACAGAAAAAAAAACTCGAAAACAGCTTAATGACCTCATAAACCACATAAACAAATTTAACACTAAACCACTAGTTCTACTTAGTATCAATGTAATAGACCTGTATCGCCTTCTAGTTCCACAGGACCAGAGGCCAGTAACTCGCGTACAAGCTGCCCATAGCCCGGGAGTACTATACAAATAAATTCCACTCAGTCGACCTTTACAGCATGTAAGGAACCTAAGCTCACTGGCACATAATATATTTCTTTTTAGTCACTCTTTACAGAACTCTTTAGTTTTTCTAGTGTTGGGAAATGTGGCTAGGGAGTATCTAGTCTTAATGTAGTCTCCTAGTCTAGATATTTGAACTAAAAATGCTAAAAAATAATGAAGAGTTCTTGATATTATGCCCAATTTAAAAAAAATAAATACTTTCCATTTGCAAAGCTCATACATTATCAAAACAGAATTTTCAATTTTTCAATCACATTTTCTACCTAACAATAAAAGAAAGAATATACATAAAAATTATAAAAAAGGTTCGATTGTTGCAATTTAAAATTATACTAAATTATTATCATGTTCATGCGTTTGATCAGATTTAAAAAATAATTGGTGCGATAAAATATACCGCACGTTACAGTTTACAAAGCGATGAAGAACTATCAGAAAACTTATTTTTAGTACGTGACAGGAAAAAACTTAAACTGATCAATTTCACAAACTTTTTATTATTTGAATTCAAAAACTAGTCAAATCCCACTTATTAACCCAGGGACATCAATAAACCTCAAAACTTATTTAGAACTGTTTATTCATACACCTTATCAAGTTTTCATACTCTTGTATTCAACCACCAAAAATCACATCTCGTCTCCGAAATCACGGAGTATGCTAATGGCAGTTTAGTAAGAAACCTTTCTCGACCCGCACCTGTTTCGCACAACACTTAAGTATTAACCCCTATTAGCAGAGTTTACTTGTTCCACTAAAACCGGTCCCGGTGCTACGTTACATTTTATCCAGTCCCGGTAAACCCACCCTTATTTAGAGTACGCGACTAATACGGTGACTGTACCTGTGCGCTTAGATATGACCGTGGTAATGGATTTTATATTACGTAATTGAATTTTTGGGGATTAATTTGTTTTGTGAATGTAAAAATAATAATTAATATTGTACATTTTTATTTTAAAACTCAACAGCGATTTTTTAACGCTGGCCTTTATAGATTTTAAACGATATTTCATTCAGACTTTTTGTAAATCACTACATAGTATAAAACAAAGTCCGTATCCGCCGTCTGTCTGTCCCTATATATGCTTAGATCTTTGAAAATACGTAACCGATTTTGATACGGTTTTTTTATTAGATAGAGTGATTTTTAAGGAAGGTTTATATATGTATAATATATGCATATTGCACCCGTGCGAAGCCGGGGCGGGTCGCTAGTTGTTTTATAAATTACTAGATTCTACCAGCGGCTTTGCCCGCGTTACCGTGGAATAATAAATGGTTTATATGTTATTTCATACCATTATCTACTGTTCCTAATTTTATCGCGATCCCTTCAGCTGTTTTGACGTGAAAGAGTAACAAACACACACACACACACACATACATCGTTACAAACTTTCGCATTTATAATATTAGTAGGATAGTAGGATTATCAATGCAAAACTTAAAAGTGATCCCATAACTCCCCATAATCCAGTCTACAAACTAGGTCCGAGCATTAAAGTACTAAAAAATACAACAGCCAGATTTAGATCGTCGTTTATTTTAAGACTAAGGAAGATAATAAAAAAGTTGTTAACAAGTTGCTAATTAAAGTATACAAGGTACTTAAAAAGTTGTCAACACTTAAACTTTGCACTATCTTCTTGATAATCCTTGAACTTGTATAAGGAAAGATTAAGGATAAAAATACACCTTTTTCAACCTGTAAACTGTTACGTGTGGTTTTATAATAGCACTTATTTTTTATAAATCTCATCAAACGCATGAACGTAATAATAATTTAGGATAATTTTAAATTACTTATAATAGAACCCTTTTTTTAATTTTTATGTGTTTTCTTCTTATTGTTAGGCAGAAAAAGTGATCAAAATTCTGTTTGGATAATTAATGAGCTTTGCATATAAAAAGCCAATTGAAATATTTTTTTTACTATTGGGCATAAAATCTTATCTTGCAGCTGCCAAGAATTTCAAAATCGATCGCCACTTACTAGTTGTAGAGAATATAATTTCAGATAATTTCAGTATACTCACAAAATATACATTTAATTAACAATTTCAACTTGGTGCCTCTGAACTTATTGAAAAATTAACTTTTAAACGAAATATTAATTAAAGACCTAATCTTAGTATCAAACTGATATAACTTATGTTGTGACCGCTAGAGGACGCTTAAGACAATTTGCGAAAATAATTTTTCATTTCGTGACATCGACAGGTTAATACTCGTGCCTGAATAAATTGAATATTAATTTATTAGAAAAGTGTTTGAAGTAGTCTAAGTAGTTCTAACAGGGACCTTGATGAAATTAAATTAATTGATAATTAAGTACGGTCGGGAGGTAACTTTCACTGTAAAAATATTAGCAAATATTGTCAGGCATATTTAATAAGTTATTACACTTCAATAATGTAATTTTGTGGTTTCTTGTCATTTTGTTATTAATTATGGTAAATATTTTATTAAAATATTATGTTGAGTTATAATTTTAATCTTTGAAAGACAAAGACATTTTGTGCTTACTTACTGCAACTGGATTTTGTATGACTTCATTATTTTTATATTATTAATAACTCTTTTAGTTAGTTACTTAATAAAAATAAAATATTAGAACCCATATAGGTACAGTACGTCCTAAACCTGGGACTTAGTCCTAGAAACGGGTAACAGCATCCTCTAAACCTCCGATAACTTAACTACCGGGTTTACTTATGTATGGAGTTACATCGGAGTGTCACTGTTCAGCTGTGAACATATTAGCTGAGTATGATGAAAAATATTACTATCATCCTTATTATTTCAGGGGAAATGCCGATTCAAGCGGAACTGGAACCTGAATTTCTCCAAGCTCTGGAGAACCACACAGTCACACAAGGAAGGGACGTACACTTCACATGTGTCGTCAACCATCTATCTAATTATAGGGTAAGAAATATTTGTTATTTTAAATATATATTTTAGAACTTGGCCGAGAGGTCGCAAGTTCGACTGCCGGGCTAGGGGTCTCGGGTTCGATTCCCGGATAAGGCAAAATATTACTGGGTTTTAAAAAAATTCTCAGTAGTAGCACGGAGTCTGGAATTGTGCCCGGTATATGGCAATAGGCTCACCCCCTATTACATGGGACTCATAACATAAATAGTGAAAAGTGGGTGTTACATTGTACAGTGGTATAATGTGCACCTCTGCCTACCACTTCAGGGATAAAAGGCGTGATGTTATGTTATGTTGTTTGTACCTAGAAATTACCCTCGAAGCCATAACGCTACATAACAAAGACGTAAGGTGCACTGTGCTCCGATACGCTCCCGCAACATAATTATAAATAAAATATGTACTCATTTGATGTTTAATACGCTTAAAAGGTTTTAAACAATGGTTAAGTACTGCAGATAGATCTATAAGAAAAGTTTTGTTCAGTAAAAGAAAAACGTCCTATCTGATAGTTTGATTAGCTTCACACTAAAAATAATAGTACATAATATACACTTTTATTTCTTGGATACAATAGAATGAATTTCGAACAGTGCATTGTGGTATATTGTTGGTTGAAAGGATTTGACACGGATTCAGAGGGGAAACTGGAATATCTTATAAAATCTCTGAAGGATTATCCTGAAAGAAAACTGGGGTACAAGACAATTGTTTGGTGAAATTGTTACCAAACTTTGAGGCACACTTTCCTGTTGAGTTTTCTTTATGAAAATGTTACTTTTTTATATTGCCGTTTTATAGCATTTACGGAAAGTTATTTTGAGTGTGCATGCAATATTTCAGAGTGGAAAGAGATTTTATAATGTAAATAAAATATTTAGGATATTTTTGACTCAAAAATCTATTTTTTTTTGACAAATATTGAAGTAGGTCTTCTGGTTCTTTGACTCACACATGTAATCCACCCAAGATTTGTACTGTTAAAATTCAAATTCAAATTCAAAATTCGAATTCAAATCACTTTAATGCATCTATAGTGTGTACAGGGTGGTATACAATTTTTGATAAAATATGTTCCAACTATAGGTCCTTTGGGCACCGCAAAAGTACTTACTCTACTTACAAAAAATTAGAAATCATGAATATTATTTAATTAACATTAATTTAAGTTTTATGTATTTGTTTCCATTTATCACTCATCAATTCTCATCAAACACCTATGCTCTTTAATAAAGCTACTCTGCACCAATTACGTTAGCAGAAACATTACATTCTAACTACCTAAGCACGTATGTACCTCTGCAATAAAAAAAGCTGACGATAAACATGTGTGAGCTTGATGAGAGACAACAGGCTCTTGTGAAGCATATCTGTAACAAAAACCAACGTGCACCAGTTGTTTAGCGGAGCATGAAATAAGTGGTCCACACTCCGCTGCATCCAACTGAAACGTAAACCATCCATCATAAAGTTTGTAATCTATGAAGGATTTTACACATCTACACTTGAAGATATTCAAGCGTTCATGTTATAACAAGGCATTGAAAGATAGTAGATGTAAATAATGTGACTGCAAAAATCGTATCAATTTTAATTGGCATTCCATAGTTTCTGCCTACCCCTTTTTTTTAAGGGGGGAAAATCATCGAATGACTGCTCCCGCCTGGGTGAGGCGGAAGGGAGTGTCAAACTCTTACTGACTAAAAACCACCCCGTTCCTTCTCCTGCACGTCGAGCCGGAGCCCCGATTACCCGTTAGGTTCTCCGCGACTCCGAATCGGCATCGGCCCTATTGGGCCCCATCTGTGGTGGTCTGATGGCTCTTTGAGGCACGCGCGGTACGCGACGCGCCGTACTATGGATACTATACTATGGATTACAGGAGTGAGATTATATATTTACCTTTAAACTTTAAAAAAAAGAACATAAACTTTTTTAAAGGGCTGGTAATACACTTGTATCACTGTTAGTGGTACGGGTTGTCATGACCGATGGACACCTGCCCTAATAACAATGATACTGTTTCAGTACAGATTTGTACTCATTCTACTTTTACTTTATTGCAATGTTACTAATCTTACTGTAGAATAAGAAATACAAAATAAGTACCAAATATCTAACAAAATTTCGCACTCAGTCATATTACTTATTCTAGCTATCCACACTAGACTTCATTATTCATAATAAATCATTTTCAGTATAATAAAATTCACTTCCATTCACTTTACTCCTAAGTTGCAGTGAAATGTTAACTATATTCTAACGTTTCTCAAGAATAAAGATTAACATAAATAGGTTTTAGAGAAACTCATTTCTACCTACTCCTTCGAAGCTTAAAGTGACGGTAAGTTTTCCATTTTTTTTTAATTCTTTCTATTTCTTTTTTAAAAAAATCTTATCTACCCCATTCTAGAATTTTATCGTGGGTGCGTTTATAAACATACAAGTTGACATATACACGACACCCAGACACAAAACAAAAATTTGTGGATCACACAAACAGTTGTTTCGAGCGAGAATCGAACCCGCGATACATTGCGAGGCAGCCGGTTGCCTAGCCACCGCACCAGCTGTGCAGACGAAATACTTTTTTGCAAGGTCATGAAAATGATTCATTTAATAAGAAAAAAATCTATTTTCGACGATAAATTGCAATCAATAAACAACCATACAAATGAAACTCCGTTAACAAGCTAGTCACCTAATTAAATCGTAATTGTAATACAGTGTCATATGACGTCATCTGTCACATTGAACAGAACGTAATCTATTGGGGCAACTTGAGCGCACAGAATGCCAACATTCATCTTAATAGACGAATGATTAAGTACCTCTGTTAACTGCTCCAGACGTTTAGTTACCTGTAAAATGGTTACATTAAATGTTATAAATGGTCATTCTTTACTGATCTAGTGAATGGAACATATTGTTAATATGGTATCATATATGTTTTATACTGATTTTGTTCTTGTATTCTTGTTTATTTTTATTTAATTGAGTATCGTCGTGCAACGTGAGACATGCTGAATTAACTAAAAATTACGAGTTATTATAAGATACTGAGATAAGGTCTACTAATTTAGAGTCACATAGGAACTCTTCCTCATGAGCAACGTGTGCGGTCGCGGCCATGTCGCGCAGCCTACTAGTGCCAGTAAATCGTATTGTTGATCATAATTACCATTTTATGTACCAACTCACATATCTGTTTTACTGCTCAAATTGTGATCAGATTTTCAAAACTAAGTTCGGTCTGGCCAGTCACATCAGGGCATACGACAGGAGATAGCTAATAAGGGTCGCCGTTAAAGAAATCGGTAAGGTATATCTGTTTTAGTAACTTTGGTTACTGTAACTCATGTACTTACTCCGTTGGTTCAGCACAGCGCAGCACATCAACCCAGAAATATTTTTCTCCGATAAGAGAATTCTTGAAACTTGTCAAAGCCAGCTCCATCACACTTTAACTTTCTTTAAACTCCTGCAAATATATAATTTTTCATGCCACGCATGAAAACCCTAATTAGTCATTATGCCAGCAAAGCGTTTCATGTAAAACGAACTAAAATCACACGAAAGCCACTTAAAATTGTAACAAGTTCCTTGAATTTTCACCCTAATATGTTAAAGGAACTGACAAAGAATATAATATGAGGAAAATCAAAGTTAACCTTAATATTTTCTCTCATAATTAAGACTTACAGTTCGTTAGTAACGCTTTGAGCTATGAAATTCAAATGTTAGTAAAATAAAGCGTAATTCTGCAGTTCCTATTGTGCTGGTTTAAGGCTTATGGAACGTTAAGTGTTGAGCAATAAGGTTCTTATTGCAGAGGCTGTAATAGTTTGGATCAGTACTGCAATTGAATTATTTTTTAAGATTCTTTGGTGTTATCGTCTGTTATTTGCGGATTGTAAGTCTGCCAATTGTAATATGTAAATTGCATGCAATAACAAAACAAGTGTTACAGAGATATCTACTACAGTAAATATTTAATTTATACAGTAAGAAACACCATTTTAAAAATAAATATTGGCGAGAAGCAGCAATATCTACTTACATACATTAAAAGCTGTAACAAGTAGCCTTTAAATACAAAAACTGAAAACAAATAATTCCACAGCTAATTAATGCGCTCATTAACTTTTAAACTAGCAAACCGCGGAACATAAATCATGTCTATAACTCAAATGGAACAGTATGTAAACATCTAACTATGAAAGCTTGTACTCACAACAAAAAGTGGTAGTTGCGACAAGTGCTCGCATTCAGCCGGCAGCACTAGCCGCGCTTACGCTGAAACTCGACGGAAATAATTCTCACAAACAATGAAATTGTTACTAATTTATTTTCCAACCACAACAAAGCGAGATGTCACATGAAAAATGCTCGGGTGCGACGCGGATGAGACACCGCGCATTCCTCCCGCGAAACTCTCCACAATTTCACGTGTCGTACCCTCACTTTTACATTTGCTACAGCGTTTAAGTCACATTAAGTTTCGTCTTCACTGTGAACAATACAAACGATTTAAAACTCGCGAAAGCTCCGGGGAAATGCGAGCGATTTATGACATTAATCCTAGATATAAAATGAAATTTCACGCTTGTATGCAACCGTACAGAACCGTTTTGTTTCGCAGACACCCGCTCTAATTGCATTGTTAAATTTAGCTTCCGAGCATTTCAAATGTTCTTGACTTTGATTATAAACTTCATAATAGCGTTTCTGTTATAAAAATATGTACTTACAGTAGGTATATATACTGTCTCTGTGTCAACATGGAGCCAATTCTGTCTGTATTGTCTCGTCGTCAATATTTATATTGTCGCTACCGATTATAAGGAATCCAATAAGGCTTTGATCGAACTGTGAAATAATGACAATATTATTTTTAGGTGGCGTGGATTAAGTCAGACTCGAAGGCGATTCTGGCTATACACACGAACATGGTGGCGCTGAATCCTCGGTTGAGCGTCACTTACAACAACCACAATACGTGGAAGTTGCACGTAAGCAACGTGCAGGCCAACGACTCTGGCACCTACATGTGCCAAGTCAACACAGACCCTATGAAGAGTCAGGTAAGCTACACTTTGTCGCACACAGACGTCTGACTTTACAAAGTAAGAAGTTATTTCGTAGAGAACGCTCCAAAACTTAAATGTTACATTTCAAGATAGCATTTGTTTCGTTTAAATGAGAACGCTACCGCTGTGAACATAACGATAGTTGTGAAGTATTGTAACAACAAGGAGTGTTCAATCAAGCAGCGAGTGCAACAAGCACTTATTTCATTTTCCAATAAATTATAATGGAATTCTCAGTAAGGGCGAGTGAACGCCTGATTAAGTGTTTCGCAGAAATCAATAACAGTGAACTTACAACAGAACATAGTAGATCTTTGTAGAAATAAGACTGCACGTACTTCTGCACGTACTGTTTCTTCGAGAATTTGCAATAAGTATTAATGTATTCGTAATAAGTGTTCGTGGTATTGAACATTATTTCCTTAATCACTCTAAACTGTTCTAGTTGCATGACCATAGTTCTATGAAATAAGAGTGAGTATCCTGACAAAATAAATAGTGTATTTGACAACGAAGTAAAGTAAACCAAGAGAGGGTATTACATGTAACTAGTTACGGCGATGGCGTCAAGGATTATACAGCGGTTTATTTTACTTTTCAAAGCGCCCCGGCTAGGTTTATTCATTTTACATTAAATACATGATGTAATCCTCTCCAAATATTTAAGCACGTAATTACCTCAAAACGCGAGCGATGAATTTAGGTGTTTATCAAATTAGGGCGAAATTAATTTTCACCGCAAACTCAATATCAATTGAATTTATGAAATTAGTCTTTGTGTTTGTATAGATGGATAAGTATAATTTGTTGTGAATAATTAAAATTACGATTGATTTGATTAAATATAGCGGTTATGCGGTCTAAACTGCAAATACCACTTTAGGTTGCTATTATATGTGGTCTCACCTATTTTTTGAATCAGTTTTCAAACAATGTTTAGCTTAACCCCTGAATCACAAAATAAAATAAAATTTCTATAGCTTTTTCTAAGAAATATCATGCAAAATAAAAAGATTACTTAAAACCAACTAACACAAAGTCCAATTTTGTACTATCCCTAATCTCACGACGCCATTGCCAACAAAACAAAAGACTCCACTAATAAAGTGTAACAAGGACAATTATTTTTGTCAGATGGGTCATTTATCCGTGGTGATCCCGCCGGACATAGTGGACAGTGTGACAGAGGGTAGCTCGGCACAAGAGGGCGGGAGTATAAGATTGACGTGCACCGCAACAGGGGTGCCGCCGCCGACCGTGTTGTGGCGACGGGAGCACAACCGACCCATAGTGTTTAGACACGACGGTGGCAGGGAGCGAAAAGGTGAGCTCATGTCATGTTTTAGTTTTTACTTTTTATTTTCAGGTTGACATTTTTCAAAGCATGTTTTTAAATATTTTTTATGTTATAGTATTGTTATGGTTGAAATATTCTGTGAAGGTTACGTTGTATTTTATTCTGAGATAATTGGGTGATGAAGCTGCAGGCATTGACTGAATAATTTAGAGCGTTCCTTCTCAATGTTTGAGTGCTCAAACATTATAGTTCTAGTGTTCTTATTTATTCTTCTTATATTTTACTTAAACGTTAAGAAAAATAAGTGTTTTTCTAACAAATCATTGAGGCGACGTTATATAGGCTACCTACTATACAAAAATAGAAAAATAAATACCTACCATAAATAAAGAAATTACTTATAGTCACCATTAAATCTTACCGAAATATCAAATGATTTTAACATGGTTACTACAAAAAGTAACGGTCCTTCGTAATAATAATGTGACAGCGCTATTTATAATTATTTTCTCTTTTATTTTCTGTGTGAGCACTGTGGGCATGGCTGTTAATCCGACGGCCGAAACTACATTAAAATAATATTTACGTGTGAAATTGGAAACGTTGAGTGAGGATAATGCCATTCAGTGTCCATATCGTAATTAGGTACGAGGCGAGAAGTAATTCATATTGATATTGGTTTATTAATATTTTATATTTATTTACACTTCTTGTATACAATGGCGGATTTAATGCCCAGTGGCATTCTCTAACAGTCAACCTTAGGTTGATGCAGAGAGACACAATAGTAGGTGTAAAAGTTTAACACTGTTGTGAGTTTTGATCATACATTGACATGTAGATATATATAATTATACATATCACACAATATGTACTAATTAAATATAATGAATAATGAGATATGTGCATAATGAGGTAATCAGCTCAACCTCTATTACTTGGGACTTAAAATAATGTAGTCATTAAGTGCCGTAATGTGCATCTCTACCTACCCCTTCAGAGGCAAAAGGCGTGATGATTTTTAAGTTTTACTATTAAATTTACATCACGTACTGTTCCATTCAGATGATATTTTCTATATTTTCCAACATTGAGTTTTTGTGTGAAAATCAAAAATATAAAAAAAACAACATGCACACTTGAATTTTCAAATAAAATATTAATTTCGGTATACCACCATCTCGAGAAGATATGAAATACACTCAATCAGAACGAACACAAGTTTAATGTTATTAAAGACAGTGCAAGTGTCATGGCGACCGTGGCTGCGGTCGGAAGTAATCAACAGTCTGTATTGTGGTGCATAATGAACTCCAACTTCATGGTTGCTCTTACTCAATATCATATTTGCATACTACTCGACTAATTACTTGCGGATACTATTATTAAATTTTGAGAATTTACATTATTATGTATAGTTGGTTACTTGTAGGTAAGTTATTTGTGTTATTAGATATTATGTCGTGGTGACCCGGAGGTTTAAGACGCCCGCTTCTCATTAATTTATTTATAATTTACAACAATATAGGCTAACAGTATTATATCTAACAAATCGTCTACATGTGGTTACATGATGAAATACACAATTGACAATCACACACAATATTTATCTACAATTATAACTAAAATTAGGAACAACAATGAGATCAAATTCAGTTAAATAGTAAGTAATAAAATAATAAAAAATCGACCAAACAATAAAAACCGACAAAACAATTCAAAAACAACCTATTTCCTCTAAAATAATGAGGGCGCCGTTTCGAAACCTACCAACGGCTAGTACTAATGTGACTTTTTCCGAGTTATATGTACCTACTTTCTAAGATTATTTAGACACCACTGACAAACGATGAAGGAAAAAATCTTGGAATTATAATTTTTAATTACAAGTTTGAAATTGCCAACCCGTAATGAGCAAGTGTGGTGATTAATGCTCAAACCTTCTCCGTGTGAGAAGAGGCTTCGCTCAGCAGTGGGCATTTAATGGCTGTTAATGATGATGATGAAGTTATTTGTGTTATGTCGCATGTAGGTGTGATGGTAAAAGCGCTGATTTTGAAATTTGGATGTTAAGTTCAGTATATCATTATTCTGTACTTCGGTGTCCGAATGTTCTTTCGTAGAATATGAAGCGTCATGTCGCATTATATCCATAAATGTAGGAATTTGTGTTATTTCCAATTTTTTACTTTCTTATACAGTAATTCGTAATACCTACAGGTCAAGTTATTGGCTTAAAACAAACAGAAAAAAGGATCGAAATGAAATTAAAACAACGGACAAAACAAATTTATTTAATATAAGCGACTCTATTAGTTAAACGAAGAAGACAGTGGAAATTACTTCGAAGTTTGTCGCCCCTTTTGTATAAAGGCAAACACGGACTTTTAAGTCTTAGATTAAATTACCAGGTCGACTAAAAGTGTTAATAGTTTTGTCTGGAATTTTATACAGTAAAAGCGTGACGACCGTATCAGAACGATCCTTGCTTCTTGCTTAAATATTCATAATGATACCTAACAGCACCAATGTAGCAATTAGAATACAGACACGCCATTTTTAGTATTGGTAGTCTACGAATAATGGGTATAAAAATCGAAAACAACAGTAGCGATTTTGGCATCATCAGTAATGTTTACTTCCAATACTTTAGTAAAAGTAAATAGTTTCTAATGTTATCTTTATTGTACTCAGAAACATGCTTGCAAGCACGCAATCGATATGTTCCTTTAAGTCAATGAAAATCAGTGATATTTTACTCTAGCCTAGAACCAAAAAAAGGATTCGTGTTTAGTATGACGTGCCCAGATGTCCCACCTTGAACGGGACTGCCCCTTTTCTAATAACGAGTCCCCAAAATGAACTCTGAGACGCAAAATGGTCCTGTATTCGGCAATATTCAAATAATACACAATTATTTTCGGCATTAATAACTAACTAATGACATAACTCACTAATTTTTGACGAAGTGAAGTCGAAAAAATTAGAAGTACCTAAATTTTTGTGCAGTTAGTAATATTAATCTTATTTTTGCGAGGCACAAAGTAGAGGTAGTATTTCCAATGTCTATATTAGGATATAGCTAACAGATGCCTGACTGAATCTGAATGTTGAATCAAAAAGGTCACCTCAGTTTAGTAGCAAATATTGTTGTATTATATTGTGTCTATAAGACCACCTCATGCGGCTCGAAATTAGTAGAGATTTTGTCAGTATATTCACGTGAGTAGCCCGCGTATTTTGAGTTAATTTAGTATGTCGCAAGATAGTTATTAAAAAAGCAGGGCTATATTTATAATCAACGAGGAAGTGAATTAAATAATCGCGCTAGCAAACAGTTTTATGATAGAAACTCTTTCACAAAGTTTGCTTCGTTTACATTAATTTATAATAGCCGTGCTTTGAAAATACAAACTCTTTTTTGATTTTTATTATACAAAACTTCTGTTTGAACGCATCAACGATTCGCATTTATGCTCACATTTTAAACTGCAATAACTTTTTATGAAGTAAATAATATAATAGTATTAACAAAAATACGTTTAATGAAATGGTTGTAATAGAGTTTCTGTTCAAATGTAACAAGGTTCATTGTTGAGTGGTGAGTTGCAGACGAGTGCATCGAATGACTGTAATAGCTCGGAAAATATCGTGATTTGTACGTTTCCTATTTCCTTACTTGCTGGTAATTTCAAATCGGATTCACGTTTAAGTAGACACGTCTTGAAACCAACGAACAATTTGTTTAATAGTTGTTGAACACATTTTTTACTTTAAATTTTATTCTTGTTGGAGGGTTGATAATTGCCTGCTGAGCCTGAGCATTTCACGAACCATGAAATACATTAGTATTATTTACTTGCATTACTTATTTAAGAGACATATTTTATAGAATATATGGACTGTTACATGGTACCACCAATTTAGATAGGTAGGTACTTTTCTATCGCTAATGTACAAAAATGTTTTACAAATGCGATTTTAAAAAGCTCGTTGTCATAAAGATTGCCGCGTTGGCCGAGTGGTCGCAAGTGCGACTGTCGATCAAGAGGTTTCCAGTTCGATTCTCGGGTCAGGGAAAGTATTGCTGGTTTTTTTTCTAGAAAATGCTTGGTTTTTTTAAAAAATCCCAGTAAGGCAATAAGCTGACACCCTATTACATGGGACTCATAACGTAAATAGTGAAAAGTAAGTATTATATTGTAGTGGCATTAAGTACCATAATGAGCTCTGCCTTCCCCTTCGGGAATAAAAGGTGTGATATTATGTTACAATTTTAAAGAAACATTGACTACAACACCAGGTCAGTCAGTCCAGTCTCATGTAGGTTAAGCATTTCGTGGAGAACTTAAGCAGCTTACTTTCTTCTGTTGAAATATTTTCTTAAATGTGATGGTCTAAAGCTAAAATTCAGTAATGTTGAATGTCTGTAGTACAATGATAGAATATTGTTAGATTGATATGGCCATTCTGTACATTTCTATTAACCTTTGGCCTAATATTGCCTGAAATAATAACAGTTATTTTTTTTCCATTGTTCAAAACTATATTCCAATTAAAATATACAAAATATTACTGGGATTTAAAAAAAAATCTCAGTAGTAGCACGGAGTCTGGAAATGTGCCCGGTATATGGCAATAGGCTCTCCCCCTATTACATGGGACTCATAACATAAATAGTGAAAAGTGGTTGTTACTTCTGTGTGCACCTCTGCCTACCCCTTCGGGGATAAAAAGCGTGATGTTATGTTATGTATTCCAATTAATTACTAGGTTTCGAAGAAAATTTACAATTCTACGCTACATATCAATAAGGACTTTCTTAATAAAATGCAACTGACTAAAGGTTGGCAAGATATGAGAAATAAAAATATACCTTCACCTATTTTTAAAAGGAAATAAAAAGAGGTACAAAGTACATGTTTCAATATTAAGATTATGTTATTGTTTACTCGTTGACTCGACTGCCTCGATGGCCGAGTGGTGGCAAGTGCGACTGCCGGGCAAAGGGTCTCGGGTTCGATTCC